AAATGTTTGGAATATTGATAATTGATAAAACTGTCAAGTGCATCTGCGCCACTGCGTCGGAGCAGGCTGCGCGGCTCCTGTTGGACAGCTTCTCTGTACGACAAATTTGCGAGGCTCCGCCATTGGAGTCGCATTAACTATGACTGCTGCAAGGTGGGTGACAACAACTTGCAGACTTTTTCACATGGCAGGCCTTGGCATCGGCCACGTCAGATGATGTGGAGTGGCACTCTCGGATCCTGTGGCCTCACGGCACAACAATGTGTTGAATCAGCGGCCCAAGGCCCCTCGTACTTGCTTTGGAAGGCCTTACCGAGTTTGACGAGGCGGGATCGTGAGGTTTCTTTAATTTGGACATTTGTATCATGCAGCGATCAGGTCAGACCCCTGTTTCTGGAAGCGGACGTCAACGCATTCTTGCAACAGGTCGGAGACTTGCGTCTGTTAAGATTCTGGACGCGTTCTGCAATATTATGTGCTCATGATACTTAGCTTCGACTCATGCTGTTAGGCTGCTCGTCACATGCTTTGGTTCGATTTTTGGGGCAGCTCCCCGGATGACCGGTGACGCTAAGATCAACCTGCCCACACTGCCAGAATGTGAGCCGAGGGAGCAACTGCGGCGGATCCTCGTGCTGCAGACTGAGTCGACAATGGGCCCTGTGTGCATGCATAGCTACACGATCATTACCAACATCATAATCAATGCAGTTACGCTCCATGGTGGCGAAGTTGGTGTGTCGGCTTGCCACTCACGGGGAAGCCGCTGCCTCAGTACATCACGTGCTCAGGTTCGCAGGGGGCCCTAGTTGCACCCAGTGCAGTCATGGGCCTCGACAGGCAACGCTGGAAAGACTGCTGGAGGCAAATATGCTGAATCTGTGCAGCCGCCTTAGCTGTGCAAATGGTGGCTTTCGTGGCCGGGTTTGATGCTGGTCTGATGCATTTCCCCGGACACCATTTTGCGACGAGCGGTACATCGCCCACTTCCTGACCTTGCCGCAAAACCTGAACGAAAACCCTGCACCACTATGCCAAGACCAACTTGAAGCAACAGCAAGCAATACGACATCAAACAACAGTCTGACCTAAATTCTCCTAAGTTCCATAGCCATAGCCATGGCTTGCGGGCGCCAGAGAAGACTTGAAAGTGCATTGGCGAAATTTGCCAGATCCTTGAGGGACCGACAGGACGAAGGAGCTGTGGATGTCGAGTTTGCACCCCTCCTCTTTCCCATGTACACAGTGCCTGCAGAGGTTTTGCTCCAGATGACAGAGGTGGAGACACACGAAGACCTCAAAGCAGCCGGCGTGTTAGTGGAGTTTGACGCATCCATGGGCAATGCCATCTTTGTCTCGCATCAGTGGGTTGGCAGTAAGCACCCGGACCCTGAGAGCAAGCAGCTGCGGGTCTTGCAGGATGCCCTGACACACATGCTTTCGAATCTGCACCATATTCCTGTGGATGGATTCACGGAGGTTCATGTGCCCAGCACGAGACCTCTGCAAACGGCTGATCTCAAAGCGGCGCCGCTGTTTATTTGGTATGATTACTTCTCGTGCCCGCAGTTGGAGAGCTGCCTCTCATGGAACACCTCTGATCGCCAAGAGGGCAGCCAATTGTCCCGGGCCATCGACAGCATCCCAGCGTACGTTGCAAGGTGCCGATTCTTCTTCGCCCTGTGCCCTGTGGTCGAGAGCCTTTCACTTGAAAAAGTGTTCACATCATTCACCTGGTCTGAGCGTGGTTGGTGCCGAGTAGAAAGAGTCTTGCGAGAGCTCTCAAGGGATCAATCCTGGGTCATGATAAAGAGCAGCACAGCGGTGGAACTCGTATCGTCCATCTTGAGTGGACTGGGAGGCTCTGCAGGTGAAGGCCAGTACACAAAGGCAGAGGATCGCGAGAAGCTCGCTATGGTTCTTCAGAACGCGCTGCTGCGCAAGCTGAGATTTTTGCTGCAGGCGCAGGATCTCGAATCTTACCGCGTGCTTCTGAACATGCAGGGCTTTTACCTGAGAGGTTTGCCTGCAAGTCCGATAAGGGACTTAGTTCCTGGTTTCGAGCCAGATGAGACCACAGGAGCAGATAAAGCAGCCCAGATGGCACATCAGTTCCTCTACCAGAACGGCTTCGCGACGGTCAATGAATTTGACAGGTCCGGCTGGGCGCCCGTGCACTATGCCGCGCTTCTTGGGGACACTGCGGTGCTGAAGGGCTTGCTCCAGCAGAAGGCCAACATCAACCGCTGGACCCGCAAGGACCAGCCGCAGTCGGGATTGCCTATCGGAGCTCAGCCGCTACAGATTTGTATCCTTTTCAAGCACCACTCAGCGATGCGCTTCTTGATCTCTGCCAAAGCCAGTCTCGATTCCAACTTCTATCCGGACGTTACTGTGGCAGCGATGGCAAACGATCCGGAGGCCGTCAGAATTATTTGCGAAGCTGGTGGCAGTCTCTTCAAAAGGAATGTGGTTGGCATGAACTCCTTTGACATTGCGGGCATGTTCGGTTCGCTTGCAGCACTGGAGGAGCTTGTTGTTCAAGTTGGACCGGATCTGCGCAAGGAAGACCTGTCAAAAGCCCTTCTGGCTGCCACAGGAGTTCGTGGAGGCAGCGCAGAACTGGTTCAGAGGCTCCTGGAGTTGCGAACCGATCCGAATGTACGGGCGACGATGTCCAGCAACACCGCTGCACATGTCCTGTTCACCGCAAAGTCCATCCAGCACCGATGCAGCAAGGCAACCTTCGTGACAACATGGGCATATCACCTTAATGGTCAGACTGCGCTGATGGCTGCTGTCATGTCGGGACAGTATGAAGCTGCTGCCGCCCTCGTGGCAGCTGGCGCGAAGCTAGATTCGCGCAACTCGCGCAACTGGACGGCGGCTGACTTTGCCAAAGGCCAGGCTGTGCCAGACTTCTTGACCGAAGCTTTTGATGGGCAGCTAGAAGGCTGCCGGAGGGTGGCCTGTCAAGCCATCAGGAATGCCTCATTTGAGGTGTAATGTGTTACAATGATATTACAGCATAATGTGTACATCAACACAGAGCTAAAACTGTTATACTACCTTGATGCTGATTACAGAATATGAATCGTTGCAGTCCTCTCGCAAGCAGCGGCGATTTTCAAGTTGTTGGCGCTGCAACTTTGAGCTCGTACTGTTGAGTTATCCGGGGGGTATGGGGTAGTTTATCCAGGGCTAGTTGTGTTGTGGAGCTGGTACCCAGCAGCAGTCGCCCGTTTTCAAGTCTTCAGATGTGGAAGCCCCGAGAATGCTCCGAGGGTTTGTTGGGCCGGGCTTGTCACTTCCAGCTTCACTTCCGCAAAGCTTGGGCTGTGTGCTCGGTTCAGGTCTGCACTGCCCGAAGCAGAAAGCTGGCGTTGGGCAGTAAGGTCCAGTGAGCCGACCTTGAATCCATGATGAGTTTAAAAGAAGTCCTATAGGCCCTGAGAACTTGCGTAATCTTGCGTATATTTACTCCACAAGCCGCCTGAGCCCTTTGTCCCAAGCCTTTGGATTCCTGAGCCTCCCTGACGTTGGCTCCGGTGATCGAATGAATCTCCGCCTACAATGTGCTCTGGCTTGTTGCGTGAAAAATCGCCTCAGGGAGTGAAACGGCAGAAGGTTGCGACAAGCCCGCAAGATCAGCAGGCTAGGCAGCAGTGGTCGAACCCTTCCGATACACTGGAACCAGGTGAGCCGTTGCTTCTGGATGAGGATACTGGCGTTGCAGAGGCTGCTGCACGAGCAGCGCGCGCACCCAGACCTTGTATGTCTCGTGTTGAGTTGGGGGCGGAGGCCGCAGGCCTACCACAAGGGTTTCGCAAGCCGTTGTCATTGTGTGGCGAGCTGAGGTTTGTGCAGCGGCGAAGTTTCCTGCCGGGCGGCAAGTACCGGCCCAAGCTGTGATGAAAGCACTGATGGCGTGTGTCAGCATCATGGCAAGTCCGAGCGAGGCTGTCATCGGTGGTGGGCTTGCATCAGGTTCCAGTCTGCTGGCTCTTCAGCCGCATGAAGGGTGTGCCCAGGTATGTGCCATATGCCAAGCGACGGCTTAGTGGATCGACTTCGCAGCCTCCACTGAGGAGTCCTTCCAGTCACGGCTGCCTGAGCTGTCGGATGACAGGGCCCTGAGATTACTGTGACGAAAGCTGAAAGGCCTGGCAGAAGACATGTCAGATGCAACTCTGAGGTGCAGCGGATTCGCGTCCTTGCATTGTTTGTGGAGCTGGGCCGCGTTGCCGACGAGGCGTTTGCTGCGCGCTCGCCCCAATGGATTGAAAGTACCTAGGACCTAGCACCTGGGATTCCAACCCATCGTGCTTGCGCGATCGTAGGCCATGCGAGCGGAATCGGCACAGTGCTTGAGCCGCGAGCCCAAGGCTGGAATCCCGCAAGGCGCTGGACCAGGCACTGTTGAGCAACGGAAGCTTTTTGCTTCTTTTTTTTTGGTTGCCGTTGTGGGTTTGCAGCCGCTGCTTTTCCGCTTCTCTTGTCGTCTTCAGGACTCTTACTTGCAGCGTGGTGGTGGCGAAGCTGAAGCTGCTGCTGCTGCTGCTGCTGCTGCTGCTGCTGCTGCTGCTGCTGCTGCTGCTGCTGTTGCATGATGCTGCATGCCCATGCCTGCCGACTGGGCTGTCACACACACACCGCGCGCATGTACATTTTCTAAGTGATTGCGTGGGTGACAGCAGCCACATTTGCACCAAACCGATTGGTTTTGGACATTGACGTGATCGAACATGTAACCTCACCGAAACCGTCCCACAGGTCCTCCATTCTTTCTTGACGGACGACTTGCTCCTTAAGCTCAACGCCGTGGAACTTATGGATGCGCCCGGTGCAAAGCTGCTGTGCAAGTGAAGACGAACCCATGTCTGCTAGGCACAGCAGCCTCTGAGCCAGCTCAAGTTCAAGTACTCATGACAGTCAGGGTGGTGCAACCCTGTGCCTCCAGCTGCAGAAGGGCCCAAGTGTGCTACAGGCAGCATTCGGCCATGAATTCGCCGATCTCCAGCAGTGCCTCGATTTCTGAGCTCCACATCCCGTCACAGTCCGACACAGCGCTTGAAGTTCAACTTGACTTGGAGAGGAAGAGCATCTAAGCTTCACAGTTGTGCGGTTCTAGGCGAGGTGTTGGGTTTTCTCCCGTTCATGTGATGGCTAAATTCCACTGAGGTAGCATCAGTCGGCTGAAGGAGTTCTACTTGCGAAGGCTCTCGCAAAGCGAAACTGCTGCGGTTTCACGGCTACGGGCGAAGTCGACAACTTTCTCTAGCCCACGACGGTCGCCAAGGACTGAGAAAGAAACGGGCAGAGCAAGCATCAGTTGCATGCACTTCTGCAGATGGCGACTGTGAGTAACACAGGATCCTGCCTCGTGAGACCGAATGGGAGGTGGCAAGCAGCAAAGGCTTCAGCAAGGCCACCTCTGAAAGATTCGGCGCACCTTTGTTCGTGCAGTGCAATGTGTAGTTTCGCTCGCCAATCTCCTGCAGTCCAAGAAGACTTGAGGCCTCTGAGACCGGCTCGAGTGTGCAGACATCTCCGTCTTCGAATCCACAAGAGTGAGCGGCTGAAACATATCTCGCCATAGTATCTAGAATCTAGCTACGAAGCCAACAAAAGCCCACTAAGGTGTACCAAAGCTGTACCTCGCAAGAGTATTGCAGACCTGGATGCGAAGCTTGTGACCGTGATGGCCGCCCTGGAGAGCAGGAGTGCCAACCCTTGGACGCCGAGGGAAAGATAGTGAGATCGGTGGGGCTATGCCTGAGAGATGGATTGAGAGACTGGGCTTGAGTTGCTCCGTGCCTGAGAGATGGATTGAGAGACTCCTTTCTGAGATAAGCCAGGGTGCGGGTGAGGGTCTTCCCTTGTTGCCTAGTGGCGAGGAAGAGACAGAGTGGTGAAGAGCGCTCGAGTTTGGCAAGATAGAGCAGGCAGACCGATTGTGAAGCAAGGGCTCCACGATAGAAGGTGGACAGGACAAATTACCGACAGGCATTCTGTCGTCAGGAAATCCATCTGACGGGTCTCCCACCAAATCGGAGAGACTTGCCCGAAGTTTCATACATAGCGCCGAGCACACGCTCCAGTGCATGTCACACTCGGGGTCTGGATGAACACCATGGGTCTTGAACTTGCCGGTATATAATGAAAGAAAAAGCGAAGCCAGGCGGAAGGGAAAGTAAGGATGACAAGCGCAAGTACTTGCGAGCAGTTGAGTCCAGTATGAAGAACAGGAAGGAAGGATGTAAGCACGCCTGGGCAAGAGGCCCCTCATCCCACACCCTCTGGAATCAAGGCAAGGGTGAACGGTCCTGCCAGACCGTCCGTTTCTTCAATCGGAAAGCGGGTTTCGTCCAGCCCAGAATCACCAATACAAAATTTCAGTTTTGCTCAGCTTCGGCAGAGCACTGTAGCACCAATATGGAGATCGCTGTAGATTGTTGTGACGATCATCCAGGTGCGAGCACCGAAAAGGGAACCAACTTGAGACGGGGTTCGGCATTTAGTTTCAGAAGACATTGATTTCAGAGCACGGCAGACTACACAGAAACTCTGCAACGCGCAGTGGCAAAGTGCAGGGGGCAGGGCAAAGGGAGACACCCACGATGCCTCGAAGAAGCCCTTATAGCAGGGGATGGGATGACACCAACGACAGCCGTCAAGCTGTTCGAGGGGGGTCCCTCTGCTGCCTTGTGTCGTGGATGACAGGCATGGATAGAGGAAGGGACAACTGAAGCTCTGAATAATCCATAGAAGTTGGCAGCGGACAGATGGTAATGTCAGTCATGTCAATAGCTTCTTGGCGGCAGGATTCTGGAGTGCCTCGAGCCGAACGCGATGCGTCATCTGAAGCAGCTGAGGTCAGGATCACGGAACAATCTGACTTAGAAACGATGCTAGGCCAAGTGGCCAAGTGTCAAAAAGTTGTTGATGGATCCGACCGTTCAGGCACCACGTTGAAACGGCATTGCGCTGGACCACGCCAGACGTCAGCTTCATCGGGGAGGAAACTGCCCAACAGGCACGGACACAACTCGCTTGCAGCAAGACATACCAAGAAGTGTGAATCAGGATGCGTTTGGATGACAGTCGTCGTTCAGTGGACTGACTGTGATTTTGCTTCTCGTTGAGTAATTGTTCCAAATCGGCGGCGAAGGTGAAGCAATTGAACGGAACGGCCCGTGTTTTGGCCCCTGGCGTGTACGTGTTTTCCAAGCGTGCCGAGCACCTGATCGTCCAGAAGGATACGCTCCCTAAACCTGCTAAGCGAAGTAGATGGTAATATAAAGCATCATGGAGCCATCTGAAGCTCGAAAGCTGCAAGCTGGTGCAGGAGAGATATCTGAAAAAGATTGCCAAGAAATTGATCGTCAACGAGGCTTGCATTGGGGCTCTCGGGGCCAACAACTTGAGCTGGAGAGTGCCTCCGTCCCAGTACAATCCGGCGTCCACCATCGTTAGTGAACTGGACAGCGAGTGTGGCACGGCCACCGTCTACGCCGACACAGTCGTCACATGGGACGGCCCAGACGTCGGCAACATGCAAGAGGTGAACGAGTACCTCGCATTGAAGACTGAAGATGAGCAGCGGCGCTGGTTTTATTCGCAGTGCCTCGCCGCAAAGATGAATGCAGCAGACCAGGCAAAAGCAAGAAAGACTTTGGTCTCTGACCTTTACCTGAAAGTGAAGTCTGCCGCACTACCAGTCGGAAGTTGGACGCTGTTCATTCGCGAAGAACTTGCACCTGCTACAGGATAATGCAAGAGCCGAGGTGAGGGGTTCGCACAGATTGTACAGCAAGTTGTCGTAGAATTGATCGTTGAGCTATGTTGCTTAGCAGTCTCAACTCTAAGAGCTGTGCTGAAAGTGGGGTTTTGACGGGCCCTGATTTCATCCCGCCGGCCGCCCTTAGCCCACTGTCTGTTCCCGTGAACTGTGCTTAGACACGCACGGCGTTTGACGCAAGGAGTCAAGAGATCCGCCACGCACGTGTCGAGAAAAGCTTTTCCATGCACCGTGAGCTGTATAGTCTGCAATTGAGGACATCCCACTAGAAGCCAATCACTATGAGAGTACCCTCGTATTAGGCTGGGGTCCTACGAGCGCGGGCAGGCTCAGCACTGCTGTGGGTGAGCAAAAATCGGGCGCATGTCAGAAACGGCAGCACGAATGTTCTCGCAAGGATTTTCTGGCCAGGGCCAATGTGCCGGACAAGTTGGCGAAGGATTTAGCAGATCCGTATTGCCTCCTGTCCTGACAGAATGCTACTTGTAGCTTTGCCTCTCCTCTTAAGTCTCCTTAGCCATGGGCCATCCTGTGCAAGGTGATCCTTCGGTGAGACTCTGCGTGACACGCCTGCTTGGGTTTATCGCAGGACGACGGAGACATCCCTGGATACGCACGCGCGAATGAATAATACATGATCATACACACACGCACACACACACACACACATGCATATATATAATATATATATATATATGGTCCCCCCCCCCCATGTACCCACGCCTCTCCCTTCTAAATGTCCTCTTTCGGAAGGCGTGGGTCCTTGGGACACCCCTGCCCGAATCATCCGAATCATTTCCG